GGGTCGGGCGGGACGAGCTGCGTCCTTAGCAAGGCGTCGCTTCTCATAGTCTGCGAAGATGAGGGGTGCAGAAGTCTGCAAATCTTCACTGGAGATCCACCGAGTGTCATCAGGCGCACATTGCTTGAATGTGACCTTGTACTGCCTTGGCTTGTTACCATACTTGCGGTGTGTGATGACTCGGTCAACTTCCTGATGTGCGTCCATAGAAGGCGGATCCTGTGATCGACGTCCGGGGAATTCGTCAGCTGGAGGTGGCATGWAGATGGCCAACTTCGATGCATAGAAGACCCGATGCACTGTTAGGTGCGGTGGAATGTTGATCACGAAGGAAGGACCGGCGGGGTCGTCTCCAACGGCAGAAGTGACTTCCCATGGTCCGAACCATTTCGGAAGGAGTTTGCACGAAACATCCTGCTCAAGCGCAAATTCCTCGGAGAGGACCCAAACAAGGTCTCCCTCGCGGGAGAGCAAGGGACGTCTATGTCGGCAGCCTGTGGCAAAAGGAGATCAGCGAAGTCGACGTCGGTTAGCTTGCTGCTGCATGCGGACCTGAGCCTTTTGCATATTCGTGCGGGCTTTGATCAGCAAGTCCCGATACTTCCTGACAGAAGCGGGAGAGCAAGGGACGTCTATGTCGGCAGCCTGTGGCAAAAGGAGATCAGCGAAGATCCGTGCTTTCTCTCCACCATGATGTAGCTCGAATRGTGYGACGCAGATCGCCGGGTGCACCGAAGTGTTGTAGGCGAACTCGATGTCGGGAAGCCGGTCAACCCAATCTTTCTGGTCGGGACGGATGAACGTAGGCAACATCATCTGAGCGGTCTGGTGCGCTCGCTCCGTCTGACCATCCGTCTGCGGGTGCCTAGCTGAGCTTGGCTTCATTGTCGTGCCAGACTCAGTCATGAGAGAAGTCCAAAAGGCTGACATGAAGCGAGTGTCTCGGACGCTCACTATGTCTTCCGGAACACCTTGGTTGGTAATCCAACCGGTGTGCAAGAGTCGTGCGAGCTCAGGCGCTGCAGCATGATACTTGCAAGGAAGGAAGCGAGCATACTTGCTCAAACGGTCAACGACCGTGAGAATACCGTCATGGCCGTGGCGATCGCGGGGAAACGGGCCTGTCACGTCCATAGCAATGGAGAGGCGTGGTGCCCGAGGAATCGGCAACGGTTTCAGTTCGCCGAAGGGGACTCGAGATCGACCCTTGTTACGGTGGCAAACTRCACATGACTCAATGTACCTCGTGACGTCATGAAGGATGTCGGGCCAGTGAAAACGCTGGCGGAGGCGTGCGAGTGTGCGGTTCACGCCAAGGTGTGCCGAAAGTCGTGCATCGTGGAATTCGCCGAGAAGACGAATCCGTAAGATATGATCTTGGGGCACAACTAACAAGTCCTTTCCTCTCGTGTGAAGGAGAAGGAACCCGTCCGAAATCCCATAATGGCTAGCCGGCGGGTGATCCAATGAAAGCTCTGCGTAAAGCGTAGAGTACGTCGGATCGGACTTGTAGCCTTTGACGAAATGCTGCTGCAGATCATCATCGAGGTTGAATGCCGTGGTCACAATGGCACAAAAGTCGGGCCGTCGTGAGAGGGCATCCGCAGCTTGATTGGCGGGACCGGGAATGTGACACGGGTCAAAATCGAACTGGTCGATGTAATACATCCATCGATCGATCGTACTAGTGACCGTGTCCTGCGTTTTGTAAAATGTCAACGGATTGTTATCCGTATTCCATTTAAAACGCCGACGGCCGAGAAGAAAGTGGCGCCACCGTTTGAGGACGGTGACGAACGAAAGTAGCTCTTTCTTCCTAGCGTCGTCGAGAGTGTTGACGAGAGGCACCTTCTGGGAGAAGTACTCAACCGGATGCCAACCGTCCTCGTGACACTGTTCCAACACCGCACCAATACCGTATCCCGAAGCGTCCGTAGTCACTTGGGTGGGTGGGGTGGGGTCGTATATACGGAGGGCAGGTGCGGCTTGCATTGCTGCCTTCAACGTACTGAGCGCGCCACGGGCTGCGTCGTCGAACTCGAAGGGCACCTTCGGGGACTGAAGTCTCGACAAAGGAGCGGCCACTTTCGAGTATGACTCGACGAATCCCTGATAATATCCAGCCAATCCCATGAATGAGCGTACATCCGTAGTGCAACGGGGTTCCGGCCAATCCACGATGGCTTGGATCTTGTCCGCCAAGGGACGAATGCCTTTCGGCGTGACAAAATGGCCCAAGTACTCAAGMTCTTGCCTGGCGAATTCGCACTTGTCGAGATTCGCTTTGTACTTGGCTAGTCGCAAACGATTCAAAACAACGCGAAGGTGTACGATGTGCTCGTCCCACGTCCTACTATAAACCAAGATGTCATCCAGGTAGATGAGGACGCTGCGACCGAGCAAGTCGCGAAACTCAGTCGTCATCGCTGCTTGAAACGTTGCGGGGGCATTGGTGAGTCCAAATGGCATGACAACCCACTCAAAATGCCCGTACCGCGTCTTGAACGCGGTCTTGTACCGGTCTCGAGGCTGGATTTCAATCTGGTGGTAAGCTGACTTCAAGTCCAACTTCGAGAAGTACGTCGCGCCGCCTAACCGCTCAAGGAGATCATCAATCCGAGGGAGAGGGCCGGCGTTCTTGACGGTTTGTGCGTTAAGTTTTTGATAGTCAATGCATAACCGTAGRTCTTTGTTCTTCTTCCGGACGAAGAGAACAGGTGCACCGTATGGCGAGCAACTAGGGCRWATCCAACCCTTGTTGAGAAGATCATCGAGTTGTGCRCRAAGCACCTCGAGTTCCTCTTCGCTCATGCGGTAGATACATCCACGCGGAGGGACGGCGCCTGCCTGGTCCCGTGACGTATGGGCCGATCCGGAACCGTTCCGGTGGGAGCCTCGAAGACRTCTCTATACTCGTCCAAGAGGTGAGAAATGCGTGGGTCCGGCGGTGACGCGGCTGGTCCGTCCGGCGAGGGAAGAGCATGCAAGAATACAAGGCCCATCTCCTTGACGTCATTCCGAGCAATGGCGTCG